CCAGGATGTCCCTCTTCCTCTTCCCACCCTCCTCTGTTATTTTCTGTGGCTTTTTAGGATGTCGTGGAGTATCTGGTGTAGTGGACATTTTTAAATGAATCCTCATCTTCCTGCTTGTGATTTTGTCAAAACATTGCCCATGAAATCTGTTTCTGTTTGTTTGTTTGAAAATATTTTCCTCCACTTCAGCAGTTCTCTACTCTGTCCTTTTCTAACTTGATGTTTTCTGGAATTATTTTATTCTCATTATAGTATAAAAAAAATTGCAGCATCAATCTTCTGTTCTTTTTATCTTGTAGGTTTTACTTTATTCTTCCACTCCACCCTGACTAACCCTTTTTTACCTCATTGGCTCTATATTAGGTTGTATTTTTAAGTTTTAGTTGTGTAACTATTAAATAAAACATGAGGTGAAATTCTGCAAGAACTTGACATTTTATTGGAGACTTAAGACAGTGAGTGCACGTTAAGTGAATGTAAAAAATGTCTATGGAACAACACCGTACTAGTTGTATGACATTGGCAAAGCATGAGTTGGAAAACCACACACAACTAGAGTTGCTTTGTTTTATTTTGACAATAGATTTTTCTTTCTTAGTAAAAGCTGTTGTCATGTGCGGCAGCGTTGTAGTTTCTGTTAAATAGCTAGCAGGACCCCAGCCTTATGTATGTGCTTCCAGCATTGCTATGACAAAAGTAATAATTTAAGAAAGTCATGTTTGTGTAATGTCATCAGTGGCGAACTTCATCCTCATCCTCCATTTCATCTTCCTCGAATTCACCGATCTCGTCGGCGGTGGCATCCTGGTACTGCTGATACTCTGACACCAGGTCATTCATGTTGCTCTCGGCTTCAGTGAACTCCATCTCATCCATTCCCTCACCAGTGTACCAGTGGAGGAAGGCCTTGCGGCGGAACATGGCGGTGAACTGCTCAGAGAGCCTCCTGAACAGCTCCTGAATGGCTGTGCTGTTGCCAATGAAGGTGGCAGACATTTTCAAACCACGTGGTGGGATGTCACACACAGCCGTCTTGACATTGTTCGGGATCCATTCGACGAAGTAGCTGCTGTTCTTGTTCTGCACACTTAGCATCTGCTCGTCCACCTCCTTCATCGACATACGGCCACGGAAGATGGCCGCCACGGTGAGGTAACGTCCGTGACGTGGGTCGCAGGCTGCCATCATGTTTTTGGCATCAAACATTTGCTGTGTGAGCTCCGGCACGGACAGGGCGCGGTACTGCTGACTGCCTCGGCTCGTGAGAGGAGCAAAGCCCGGCATGAAGAAATGCAGGCGAGGGAAGGGCACCATGTTGACTGCCAATTTACGGAGGTCAGCGTTAAGTTGGCCGGGGAAGCGAAGACAGGTGGTCACACCGCTCATGGTGGCTGACACAAGATGGTTGAGGTCTCCATAGGTGGGTGTGGTTAACTTCAGTGTGCGGAAGCAAATGTCATACAGGGCTTCATTGTCAATGCTGAAGGTCTCGTCTGTGTTTTCAACGAGCTGGTGCACAGACAGAGTGGCATTGTACGGCTCCACCACAGTGTCGGACACTTTGGGTGAAGGCATGACACTGAAGGTGTTCATGATGCGGTCGGGATACTCTTCCCGTATCTTGCTGATGAGAAGAGTGCCCATCCCTGAGCCCGTACCACCTCCCAGCGAGTGGGTGAGCTGAAAGCCTTGCAGGCAGTCACAGTTCTCAGACTCCTTCCTTACTACATCTAGAACTGAGTCCACCAGTTCTGCTCCCTCAGTGTAGTGACCCTTGGCCCAGTTATTTCCTGCTCCGCTTTGACCTGGATTTATTATGATTTAAAAACAAATAAGGTTAAAAAAATGTAGTTATGTTCTTTAAAGATACACTTTTTATTTTAGAGTAATGCAGAGAAACCAACTCTAAAACTGTAAATTGTTTTTGCTCATTAACTTTGTTAAGGGGAGAAATTTCAGGGTTACAAAAGGTAGGAATCTGCAACACAGATTTCTATTTTGATTCACAGGTTTTAATCTTTCAATTTTGTTGTATTTCTTTAGTAAAAAAGGGGATCCAAGAACTAGAAAGTATGTGTATATGTTGTGTGCTGTATGAATTTATAAATGTTTCCAAAAGTCTATTTGGTTGTTTTCCTTGAATTTACTTTAATAGAACTCCTATTTCTAATTGTTTATAATCTAGCCCACTCTGGGATTAGATTGTACTGCACTTGTAATGATGTTTTGAGCACATTTAGAGGCAAAAGCATTCTAGCAACTTGCCCCATCAGACTTGATTGTTATCTGCTAGGCTTTATTCGCAACCAGCATGTCAACTTTTAAACTAAAAGTACTTCAGGAGCACTGACAGCTATATGTTGAAATAGACAGGAATTCTCCCTTGAGAAGATTTTTTAACAAAGTATTTAAGAAGATGAACTTGTGATAACGTGTAACAAATTAAATGGTAAAAAGGATCGCCTGTAATTGTTGCAGCAGTTACTGAAACCTACTATTTTGAGAGCAGTTCCTTTGTACCGAAGAAACAAAATCAATAGCTTGGCCTTGATGCCGTTTTCTTGGCTCATGTTTCCTCATTTGTTTCGAGCTCTGCTGCATCACCTCCTATTAGATTGCCCTATTTTTCCGCTGACTCACTGGAACAGACTTCTGAGTCTAACACAGCTGCACACGGACGGTGCAAACCATGTCTGCTGCAAAAAGGTCTGCAGGAGGGTTTGCTACAAACGTATAATACTAGTACTGTATACTATCCCTTAAGAAACCCAGTTTCTCAGAACAGCAGTCGCTGATACACACACTTCTATGCTGTGTATGTACCATGGGTAGTTTTTGCAATAAACTACCCAGTGATTTACTCCCCAGACACTCACCAAAGACAAAGTTGTCAGGTCTGAAAAGCTGTCCAAATGGCCCGGAGCGGACTGAATCCATGGTGCCGGGCTCCAGGTCCACAAGAATGGCACGGGGGACATATTTACTGCCTTTGAATGAACAACAGCATAGAACAGAAACAGAGGGGGAAGAAATGGATAGAAGGGTGGGAGGGGGGTATCAATAGTCTCAGGGGGCATGAGGTCAGAGCATTAGTAATGAGCGAAAAAAACCCAGCTGTCTCATACCATTGATTTTTACCATATGTTTCATATTAGTGTTAAAGGGCGTTAATAGAATATTAATAAATGACTCTGGTTGGCAGTACTACTGCTACAAGACGCCACACCCTGTTGACGGAGCTTGAATTGTTTTTTTTCACTGTTAGTTCTTTGCTCTTTCCTTTGTGCCACCGGCAGCAAACTGCTCAGACTGGACAAGCTCAATTTGCTGAGCTCAGTACAGTCATGTGATCTTCCCCTTGTTCTTTAGTCTTTTTTCCTTTTCTTTTTTTTCAACTACATGTTGCTTGTTTAAGGGGGGGAATTCTGCACACATTTACTTCAGTGAGAGACTGCCAGGGCGAGCGTCACCCAGAAGATGACACTGATGTCAGCATTTGACGCACAGAACAACGGATCAATACCGCCTTCTCTTAGGATGTGGGACAGAGTTGCAGCATGAGGGTGTGAATCATCTGCTGGCTTTGCTGGTGTGAGGATTTTTTTTTTTTTTTTTTAGCAAAAACGTATGACGCGTACATAGACCTGCATGGACTCGTCTGCCCGTGAGAGCATCATCAGCCAAAAGAGGCCGAATCGACGATTTCTGTGTAATAATGTGTCACAGCTGCAGGCACATACGCATAATGCATCTATGATGACCTTCAACATGTTTCATAAAAACAGACAAACAGTGAAATGAGACTGGGGTTTTGGTTTGGTGTGGTGTGGTGTGGTGTGGTGTGGTGTGGAGTGGCGGCGGGGGCAGCTACTCTGAGACTGCAGATACCTGTCCTCCCTTGAGAGAGAGACAGAAAGAGGAAGACGGATAGAGAGAGAGAGAGAGGGAGAGAGAGAGGGGGAGAGATTTTATCACGCTCTCTGTCCTGATTTCCTTGCACACACGGTGGGACCTACTTTCACCTGAACACACGGCAGTGACATTGAAATGACATCATGCATAAACAAAGACCTGTATTTAACCAAAGCAGTTACCTGATGCCTCATTGTAGTAGACATTTATCCTCTCCAGCTGCAGCTCACTGTCACCTTGGTAGGTACCTGTGGGGTCGATGCCATGCTCATCACTTATCACTTCCCAGAACTGAAACATAACAAACATAATTACAGTCAGTGTCTGTCATCTTATTATGGAAAAAAAAAAGCAGAATTCGGTGAGGTGTTTTGCTGAATGCTCATTATCTGCTTAGCTACAAAACAATGCTGATGCATGCAGCTGCAGTGAGAGGCCACAGAGCTGCAGCACAGCACAGAGTGAGCCACAAAAATAAACGTCACATAAATAAACTTCATATTTAGATCTTTACTGATAAACATTTTCAGCTTACCTTTGCCCCAATCTGGTTTCCACACTGACCAGCCTGGATGTGAACGATCTCCCTCATGATGCGCAGTAAATGCGGGCACAGAGCTGCGTCACGACTTCACCGGTGTTCAGCCTTCAGCTTCTCAAGGCTGCGTTCCTCAAAATCAGCACTTGCCTCATTTCCAGGGAGAGGGTTGATTCGGTGGATATACGTTAACGTGCTGCCGGCCGGATGACGTCAGGCGCCGTCGTAGCATCGCAGCATACTCTAAGGCCAATAGGATGGCCGGGGTTTGATGCAGTGGAGCGCAGGATAATGCTGCTGTATCATCCTCCTCCTCCTCCTCCTCCTCCTCCTGACATGACATAACTGCATCCCGGGCAGAGGAAACGTGGCCTCTACCCTGCAGGACTGGGATCGGACGATGAAGTCTGCTCATTTTCTTGTGAAGTGATGAGAGATTTTATCAGGATAATAATGAACCTTAGCCTCGCATGTTCAGGATTGATAATTTTTCCTGACGCACAATGCCTGAATGCCTGGAAAACTGAGACAAGAAAAGAAAGACGGTTTTTTTCCATTCGTCACAACACAACCTCGGACACTGCTTAAATAAGTCAATTTACAAAGTAAAATGATGGAATAACTCATTTGCAAATAAATACAATTACATCTGTAGTCAAAGAGCTTGATTATTTTATAAAGTGACAAAAATATTTGGTTTGTCGTCAAACCCACTTTAAAAGTTTTAAAAAAATAAAATATAGGCTCTAGGACCCCGCAGGGCAGCCACGCCTTGGCCTATCCTACTGTCATTGACCACTGCCTTAGTAATTACTTGCCTTCATCAGTGGACAGTTACTGTCCATCAGTGTTAAATGAATTGCATGGTAGAAGTTGTCATTCAAGTTTAAATGTTGGTCAACTGGACTGTTGCAGAAAGCCATGCAGGACAGAAAGAATGTAAACAACAAAAAAATAAATTCTAAATAGTTAGCTAAAAGATAACTCATAGTTGAAGTGCACAGACATTGCAGAGATAAAAGTAAACAAAATATGGAAAAAATATAAATACATTTTGGCTGAAGGATAGACACAAAAAAGTGTTTGCCAAAAAGTAAACAGCTTAAGCCCTGAAATTACTCCCGTTATTTAGCAACAAACAATAAATGTTAGATTTGTGACATATGCAAAAGAGATAAAGAACTAAAATTTGATCATCAGTAAAAAATTAACCAAAAACTATTGTGAAAAAGAAAAACATTTATAATAACTAAGTTTAAAAAACAACAACAACAAAAGATAATTATGCACCAAAACAAAAATAAAAGTGGTTCAGAACTCATTAAAAACAGGTTCCTTGGTTGAAGAAATGGTGTAGAAATCTCACTGTACAACAGTCAATTATTTAACTGTTAAATAATTAAATATATTAGTCATTACAGAGCTCAGATATTCACAGCTGATCAATAAATAGTGGTTTATTTTAACAACCAGTATGGCTTATGTACAAGTGCATCATGTCTGTTAAAACAGCAACAAAATGAAAACAAACAATTGAAAATTAAAAAGGTTACAATCGATTTTTTCATTTTTTTTTTACATTCATTCAAACCTCCAGTGGGGAGATTTGCACATTGAGCAAAACCTGAAAAGTGTACACAGGGAACTTCATGGCAAAATACTTCTTTCAGTTCATTCACTCCGCCGTCTAAGAGTTTTCACATCAACAAACCTGAGTGTTTCCACACATCTGCTATAGACAATGGAATAAACCATGTTTTTGCTTTTTATAAGGTAAGTGCCCGTCTGCCCAACCAATCATTGCTTAGGAATATGTTCACTGCTTTATACTTCAATTGTACAGCTAATCAAACCAAACTAAACCATAACACAACAGCTCCCATCTTTCCTGTGTAACAAATGCACGAGGGTTGTCCAGGTGGAAGCAACAGATCTCCTAGGAGACTGCTCGTGTTGTGCTGTCATTGCCTTCACACTGGTGTTGCATGGAGTTAAGGAGATAATAGATTTCAACATTGGCAACACGAACACTGAGACAGAGAAACAACACTCACAGACGGCAAGGAGTAGGAGTAACGACAAGCTACTGACCACAAGAGTGAGCCCACAGCCCAGGGCAGAAGCCGGGGGATCCTTATTAAACCCATGTGCACCCCCCTGTCCGATAATGTAGATACACCTGGCTGTACTACAAAAGTGTGCATTTTATATTCACCGTGTTGTATTCAAAACTAATCTTTTACCCTTTTAATGAAAAAATACTGAGCACTGCCAAATCGGACGTCACATGATTGCAGGGTGTTGTGCTTTGAGGCATAGCAACATGGCGCTGAGATCATGGGCTCAAAATATTACTGCTAGTACTTGAAACACGATGACTCCTCCTATCGAGAACAAAGATCGGGCAGGTTTACCCGGTCGTTCACGTACTAAATGGCATGTAGCCCTTGTCAGTACACCTCCAAGTCTTATAAAAGAGCATCTGGTGAGTAAAGTTCCTGCAAGATCTTCTTCTTAATTAAGTAAATAAAATGAGAATGACAAAACAGTTCAGTGGTTTGACTCCTTAAAGGAAAAATTCGGCCTTCTTCAGTACATCCCTGTAGTTTGAAAGTACCAAGTAGTCATCATAAAAAGCTCATATATTGGATTGATTGTGAAGACCTTTTGCCTCTTAATATGCTCAAAATAGTGCTACAAGTGCTATGCAACATGAACAGATTTCTTGCAGAAAATTTTTTAAACAAAGTCCCACAACTCAGTCGCATCTAATGATGTATGTTCTTTCCCCACAAACACTGTGGCGGACATCAGGCAAAAGTGGCGTACACCCTGGACCTGGAGTCGGAGTTAACCAGTCTATCAGTTGACAAGTCTATCACCAGAACCAGAGAACCTGCATAGTGTTGAGACCATCATGAGTAGGTCTTGGTGGAGTCAAGTTGTCTTGGTGCGCCCCCTCCCTACTGGCAGAACCCACTGCCCTCAAACAACAGCACCATGCGTTGAAAAATGGCTGAATTTTTCCTTTAACAAATCACTGATTATCTGAACGTAGTGTGGTATGCTGAAAGGTTTTTAATCACATTTGAAATGTTGAGACATCATCCAGTTGGCTCTTAGGTTTTTACAGTACAGTTTTGTTAGTATTATTACTTAGTATTATTGTTAGCATGAGGATTGTTGTAAACAGTGGTCTTCCCATAAACACACAACTGTCATCGACAAATATCATCACTTGCAACGTACAAAGTATGTAACTACACCCGTCACATCACACAGTCCAATATAATGCAGTCCATATATGGACATGGAAGAAATCGTGCCTCCCAAAAATAACTGTACTGCTTTACAATCACTGATAAGTTGTGTGAAAAAAAAAAAAGATTTGACCTGTGATTTGATTTTGATAAGGTATGAAATATTGCATTTTAAGGTAAACCAAGCTGTGCATCAACACACTGATGACATACAGTACGAGAAGTCCTTAAATGTAAGAACATGATTCGGAGAACACGCTAAGGTCGGTGAATGTCACAACGCCTATGGATTTTTTTTGTTGTGGTTTGCTAATTTTTTTTTTTTTTTAATATTTTGTTTTTCTGACACCAATTTCATGCTTTGTCCCCACCGTAAATATTAAGGTGGCACCGGCCACCGGGTTGCCACAAATACTGTTAGAATTGCACAATAAGGACATGCCACTGAGGAATGTTCAAATAATACTTTCAAAGTTAAAGTAGAGGGAAAATAACAACTTATGAGGCTTTTGCTTACAATATCACATTTACAAATAAAAGCATTTGCATATCATATCTGGTATGAACTCAAATAATTGAAAAAATAAATGTCTTCATATTGACAAAATATGGGTAATTTTGAACCCAGTGTCACTTCTCTTATGCGTGTTAAAAATTGCAGTAAGCAGGAATTCCTTAGGATAAACGACAGAATCAATCAATCAAGCTCATAACCCTAACCCTCTGACATGATTTCCTTTTCATGCCTTCATCTAATGTCAGGACCAAAACATTAACAAGTAAAAATAGACCCACTAGGTGGCAGTAATGTAACTGTAATGTAAATTTGCTTTGCTTTGCCAAGCCTTAGCGCTGGAGATTCACACAAATTTGATTTTCTTTAGGATTATTTTAAGGGATGAAGATTTAAAAATGTAAAGTTCATGACAATTTTGTACCAAAATACAGGGTTTTTTCTTGAAGCAGGACTTACAAACTACATTACTTAGCACCCCCTGTAGGAGAAAGAAGAGGACCCGTTTCTTTTTCTGTTTACAAATACAGAAAAAACAAAATTCCTGCATACCAAATTTTTAACTTCTTCCCAGATGATTTTTTTAACTGGCTGTTTTAAATTTATTTAAGAAATATTAATAAATTAACTTTCTACATTTCCGACAGGGGTCATGCTTCACAGTGTCTCTCAAAATACTGCCTCAATGGAAACGTTTGAGCACTGCGCTATTTTTAATTTTGGTCAGTTGTTTTTGGCATTATTTTTTCTCAAAGAAAAACACTTATTGTCCACATAGGTAAGGCATTTTTTGTGTGTTTTTTTTCAAAAATATTTCAGACAGATATTTTATTTAACCAAAGCAACAATTAATTTTTTTTTGTTAGTATCACCAACCACCAGTCTTGATGAGACATGTCAGTGATTCTAGGTATAGTACTAAGTTTTCATAAAATGACAGAATGTAATTTTTTCCCATTCATTTAACAACAAGAATAGTTTAAAGGCTGGTGATTTCCAGTGACATTCAAAAAAAAAGAGCAGAAGACAGTGTCACATTGTTACAAACCAGCCTCTGGCACTCTCTCACTTGGTGGTCTTGTTTAGTGGCTAAAGGAAGAAAGGATAAGGGAGGGGGGGCGAGGTCGCAGGGTCACTGAGAACCAACATACAACAATGGCGTAAGACATGTCTACTCAACTCCAGACGGGAACAGTCTTCACCTGAAGTCCAAGCAAGACCTCTCTCCCCTTTCTCCCCGGTGGTCGTCAGACATGGGCTGCCTTTTTCTCCTGCTGCAGCCATAAAGCTCCGGTTCCTGGCAGCAACACTGGATCATGACGACGATGAAGTCAGGTCGCTGACGGTGTTGTTTTCTGTGCTGGCACTGTCCGTGATGGCGAGGGCACCTGAGTCTATGGGGGAGGAGACGGTGCAGTCTAGTAGCGAAGAGGGGGTTACATTTAAGGAGCCTAAATCTGTGGCTGAAGTGGGTGCTGAGTCTAAGGCGAGACTAGTATCTGAATCTGGAACGCTGTCTTTAACAGTTAGTGTGTCTGGTTCTGGAGTGGAGCTGTTCACGATTGGTGTGATGGGGAGAATGTTTGGAGTCGGCGCAGGAGTATCTGTGAGAGGGGCAGGACAAGGGTCCTCTGAAGGCATGTGCTCCGAGTCAGTTGGTGGTGGTGGTGGAGGAGTGGTCGAAGGGGAAACTTGATTTAAGGGAGGTTGAGGATGGGGAGATGCATCATCGACAGCACCAGACTCTGACTCTAATGGCTGCAAGTTTTCAATTGGGAGTGTGGGGGAATCTCCAGCAGCAGGGGGGGAACTAGAATCTTCTACTTTTAAATCTTTGGGAATGTCAGAGTCCGTGCTAATGGAGGGAAGAGGGTCGTTGGAAAGATTGTAGTCTTTCATAGGAACAGGGGAGGGAGCGGGGGAGGGACTAGGGGAGGGAAGCAGGCTCTCATGCATAGATGGAGTAGGGGAGTCACAGGGAGCAGCAGAAGCGGAAGGAGCCGGCGTAACTTGAGAGTCCTCTGATAAATTCGTATCAAATTTCACGGCAATGGTGTCTATGTCGTTAATTTCAGGGTTCGGGGATTCCAACATGGAGCTGGGTGTGGGCTCGATGATGGGCGTGACCGTTAAGGAGGCAGGCACAGGCGGAGGTGCAGGAGGAGTTGAAGGAGCAGGAGGATCAATCTCGTTCATTTCATGAAAGGTAGAGTCGGTCAGAGGTTCCAGAGGGTGCTGCACTATTGCTTGAGGTTCTTCAGCACCACCTAACAGTGGGTCTGTGATGGAGGGGGCTTTGTGTAACGGGGTGGAAGACAGCAGGTGTTCTTTGCTGGCACGTATGACGTTGTCTTTGCTCAGTGGCGTGACGGGGGATGCCACTGACTGGCCGTTGAGGTCTTTAAGCTCAGTCTTGCCGGGGTGCAAGTCCGTGAAGGTGGGACCGGACATGTCCCCGACCGAGGGGACGGTCAGATCCACAGCCGATGAGGCAGTGGAGTCCATGGTGGACACTGCAATGACTGCTGCCTCGTGCAGCGGGGTGTCATGAACCCTTGTGTAGTCCCTGCTGCTCTCAGACTGCGCCAGCAGGAGGTGCTGTTCCCCTGGTTTCCTAGGGAGAAGGAGAGGCTGACGAGTGTAGCTCTCCCCATCGGCCAGGGTCTCTGGGAGGGGCTGGTAGCGAGTCTCTGGCAGCAGGAGAATGCAGATGATGCAGATTAGGGTGCAGCAGGCAAAGATAATGTGGTGAAGGAAGTAGCCCTTCTGATTGTGCAGCTCCATGATGGGGGCGGTCAGCATGCCGAAGCCAGCACTGGCTAAGACCAGGCCCAGGCCTCCACCCCTGTAAGAATACACACAACAGTCACCTGACAGGGTTTGTAATCACACATGTCTAAAGTCTCCACTTGAACGGAGATGAAGGTCGTTATTTATCGCTGTAATCAGCTGTTAATGTTTCACAGGCTTTTTATCAAACGGCAGCAGAGAGAGTGCTGCAGTAAAGCCACTCAGCCTTACTCCTCTACTGTCGTGTCCTTCTCCACAGTCACCACTGAGGGGCGCGCGTTGAGCATAGTCACCAAACCCAAAACCGTTGCATAAGTCAAGAACATGTTCATGCAGTGGTGTCATGGAATAACAGAGAAGATGACTCATTTGAATGATAGATCTCTTTTCCGTAGAAAAAAATAAGAGATGTAGTCTTGAAATTTCCCTAAATATCTTTCTGATAATCAAAAGGAAAACTGGAGATTTTGGTGGTTTCCAGAAGCTTCTCAAATAGGAACTGGAAGCTGTTTCAACTAAAAGGAATGGGTGTTTTTGTCTCTGTAAAAAGTGCAGTTTTTAAAAGTGGAAACCAATGTTGGTTTTCAGAAGACATTCAGAAGGCCAAAAGGCAGAAACCACTGCTCAGGACGCATGACCTTCAATCAATGTCACTCTTTATACAATTTTCGTAGAAGGTGCTGGGTGCTCTGTACATAGAAAAAGGAACAAAAACTACTGAAAATAACGAGTGTCCCTATGAACTAAAATATCGGACATTTAACACATCGATTTATTTTAAACTTTGTGCCCGAGTGTGTCTTGGAGTTTCCTGCAGGTTTCACTTCCCAAATGTATAAATAATAAATAAATAATAAAATAATAAAATGTATAAATGTAAATGTATGTAAATACTCGACAGACAACGTACTGAATGCGTTCTAATAATCTGTTGTGTGTGATTATGAGGCCCCCTCTGTTCATAAACAGAAGAGCAGCTGAACCTCTCTATTAAATTGTTTTACCTTACAAACCCGTGACGCTGCGGGTCACACTGCACACTTCTGGGGGTCTCACCTGATCACCGTGGGTGTAATCTCAGCACAAAAAAAGATGCTCAGGTTGCTGACCGCATGGGAGGAAAACATGCCGATGATGGAAAAGGCAATGGAGAAATTCTTATTCAGCGTACCGGAGCTATCTGCAGACAAAGCAGGAGACACACACACACACACATATTTATGGGATTCAAGAGTGCCCCTAGCAGTGGGACCAGGACAACTGTTCTATTGAGGTCTGAGGTCTGAAGAAAAAAAAAACATTCTTGCAAATACATCAATAATCATGAATATGTCGAACTAGACCTTTAGTATCTAAAAGATGTACAGGCAATGTTATACATGTGACTTTATGGGAATATTTCAGGACAAAAAAAAGAAAAAGAAAGAATTTTTTATTATTATTAGACTTATCGAGTTGGAGACTTAAGTATGTACTAACCTGTGTTAATGGAAAAGTATATGAAAATATAAATTAAATATATATATATATATATATACACATAGTGGTATTTTGGGTATAACAGTGGTTATTTTTGTATACATATATATTTGGTATACATAAATATGATTTATTTTTGTTTTTTTCTATTGGTGGTGAAGGGAGTATCAGAACACACCACTCTGTGATTAGTTCTCTTTCCCACAGTGGGATTAGTGCAGAGGATTAGAACACGTTGATAAATAGGAGTCCAGTGAAGGCAAGGCTGTTGTCGAGATTCACAGCTCTGTAACCAAGATGCTCGACCGCCTCCACACGAAGGGAATAAATAAGTGAGCGGCCGGTCAAATTACGATGACGTTACATTTTATTACGTTAACAATTCAAATTACACATGTACGTGTGTCATTATCCTTACAATAACTTTTACAGTGGGAGGTTTGGAGTAATGGCTTCGGTTTAGGTGAAAATAAGAAGAGAAAAAAAAATGACAGTCTTACCTATATTCAGATGGCCGCTGTACTTCCCCAACACTAGAGGAGAAACACAGACGGGTTCAGTGTGAGTTTGTAAAAAACCAATGTGAGACAGGACTCAGAGATATTTGACAGAAAACAAGAACAAAGCCTTGATTTGAGTTAAACATCACATCAACGTCAGACTAGTTTGTCACTGAATAATCTGACCTGTGGTCTGTGTACGACCCCTTTCTGCAACACATTGACCAAAAGAAGGATTTGAATGTGTGTTTGACAACTCAATTACAAACAACCTAGCATATTGTGTGCTTTCTACTTACTCTCTGTGTACATTTCTGCAAACAAACGTGATTTAATTTAATCTAAAGCGTATATATGTTTCACTATTTCAACATTGAAAATATTTTCCAGTCTAGTAATACACACTAATATTTATACTCTCCAACCACTGGCATCCCACTGTGTGAACCATCAGAATTTCACATGTAAGTGAAATGGAACTGCAGTTTACTCACAGTTGAGCAGGCCCAGCTGCAGCAGCGAAGCCAGTGCAGTGATAATCATGAACATCAGAAGGCCTCCACGCCGGCCCATCAGACCCACTGCTGGGCACAGAGCCATGCAGGACGCCACCGCAATACCTGCCATGGTGTAATAGTCTGCATAGAAGTTGTGGAACATGGTGGTCTCCTGGGCCTCAGGGACCACCATGCTGCGAGCAAAGCAGTGGTGGATGCCGTATCCTGTGAGCCTGCGTCAAAAACAGGAGAAGAGGTGAGGTGGGAGAGGTCAGGGGTCAGGGGGTGACACGTAACAGTGTAGATAAAGACAGATAGACAGACTCTTTTAAACTGCCAAAAAAACACTAATATAATGACACAGCTCCTGTTCCAACACAGGATCCAGATCAAATGAAACCATAAATCCAACTAATAAAACGTGACTCATTATTCTGCAATTGGCAGATAAGATAAACATCCATTGAGGTTCAGCTCGGTCCATCCGCAGCTACTATTCCTAAAACTGTTTTGGCAAATAATTTTTGTGAAACCTAGAACTGAATTCTGTCCAATTTTACCAACATGAAGCAGATTTGGCCCATTCTTAATGCGCCCTAATTTTCATGATTTGTTTTCTTATCCCTCCTTCTCAGGCCTTTTTTCCCCCGCTAATTTTCTTATTTATTGCTAAGTTTCAGTTATTATACATTATAAACTTGGTTATTTTGGGGCCGACCTCTGGGCTAAAAGCAATCAAAGCACTCTTGTGTACACATTTGGAAAATGTTGCAGCCCCTGTGGGCAGGAAATGCTGTGAAATAGAGTTAAAGCAAAGGTAAAAAAAAAAATTAAAAAAAGAAAGTAATAACAGAAGCTGCAGGACGAGTGGAAACAGAATGGGAAGAGTGAAGATCGTTGCTCTAATCTCTAAACTACACAAACATATGAACACTGTCGAACTGACGCAGACAAATAATCCCACACCCGACTAGCAAACACACATGCACACAAAACACGGGCAAACACTCACACCCTTCTCCGTCTTGTCTAATATTTCATAAGGACAAAGCTCATGTAAAATGTATGCGGATTCGGGAGTCAGGGACAGAGCGTGCAGGAGCAGGAGTTAGGCTGGTTCTGCACAGCTAGAGACGAGGTCCTAAAGAACAGAGGAAAGGAAAGATCCCACTGGAGGAGAAAATAGAGACCAGCACACATGAGGAAGGGCAAACGGGCCAATGGCCACTGATCAATGATGCATCTAGGGTTCAGGTTTATACTGGGAATGTAAAGAAAATGGCCCGACCAACACACGTCGAAACACCAACCTTTTTTACTCTTTATTACTTACGAGTTGACACAGAGCACAACGATGTTCTTCCACAAGTTTCTTGTTCCGACCATTTTCACAATGCACGTCTTTTTAGGCTTCTTTTGAAGAGCTTTCTGCAACTCTGAAATAATAAAAAAAAATACACACTGTCAGACTGACTAAGGGGGAAAAAGCAGTTTTTAGAAGATTAGAATATGCAGATTTTAATAAACACTGGGAGCGTAGAGCGCATATTCTACCCACCAGGGGTGCTATTAACAGTGTCTGGCCTGGATACGACAGCTCGAAGCACCTGCTATTTTTTTGGTGACCTCAGATCTCTAACAAAAAGGATGTAAGTTCGAATGTATACCACCTTGATACCACCTTAAAACTCCATCATACACTTACAGTGGCCTTTTGAGGATGACTTTCTAAACAGGAAATTCCTGCAGCTTTACCTTAAAATAAACTAAACAGTGGCTTTTTTTAAATGGATGAATGGGGCACTGTTAATAATACTAAGAACTTTAAAAAAACAAATGTTATTTAAGAACCTGAAGTATTTGAGACAAAGAGAAAGCAAGATATTGTTTCCACTTCCTTTGTCTGCCTGTTCCACTGCACCAGGATGAGGATGCCCCCTGATGAACTGCTTCAGGAGAATGTTCCGCATGCATTTTTAATGAGCATGTTTCCTCCCAGACAATTAGTCTCCTGGAGCCAGATGAGACATGTGTGACGAGGCCACACCCCGGAGCTGCCGCTGACGTATGCGTAATACCGACACTTTATGTTTTGGTATCAGCCTGCAGGTTGCCACGGCAACACACCTGTGCGCTTTGTCTGACGTTGCGCCAGGGATGACTATCATGTGACTCAGCTTCATATCGCAAACATTTACGTTTATCTCTGACTACACACAGGTAATTTCCCTGAGTGAAACTAACCAGATTTAGAAAAAAATAAAAACCCATTCAGTCAGGACAGAACAGAGGAGTTTGTTCTGTCTCAGCTCTTATAAACAACCCTCTAAGTCCTCCTTCACAACCAGGCAAGAGTTAATTTATAGTCTCTAAATACACAGTCTGTAATACTGAGTACAAAAAAAAACAACTGTAAACACTGGTTTCAGCCAGTTTAAATACAACCAGGAATAAATAAATGCTGGGGAAAATGTAGATTTCTTAAAGCTACAGCTGCCTACAGTGGGGTTGGTTAACATGTACTGTCAGTTTAATACAGTGTCTCCCATTAAGCATACATTTCCATTAGTGTTAATCACTGATGTTAATGATACAGTCACAGGCCCTGACCTGACCTGCCAGTAATTCCATTCCAGCTGTGGCTCCTCCTGAAAAGGAAGTTCAAATATTTACATCGCTGTAACTTGCTGACACAGGAGGCTGCCTCTGTGTTGTGTCGTTTTCAAAAATATTACGAGGAAATTTTAATATATATAATTTTAATTTGAGTCTGCGGTCGTGCAATTTTTCAAAATAAAACGCCTGTTGTGCTGATAATCAGCCAAATTTATATTTTGTTTTTTTGTTATATTTTGTTTTTATTGTGTCTGTGACCCTGTACCATACTAGTCAAAGTGCATTTTAGGTCCGAGGCACCTCTGATAAACTGGATGGTACATAATGCATCAGTGTGGATGTTCACACACTCTGTAGAACACAGACGTAGACGAGCACTTTTCAGGAATTTTCATTTCCCCTGTGTGGCAGCGTCAGAGAGGTCTGTCAGCGTCGCTCGACTCGCCTGCGACGTGTCACTGAAACAGCGCTGCAATAAACGGCGCAATAAAGATAATTCACTGAGCTGATCATTCATTAGGCCTATAAACGTCTGTGTGGCCCATATGGAAACTGCAACACATTCAATTTGTTGTTAATGCCCGCTGCACAATCACACAGTCGCTGCCACCGTTTTCCTCCGAGATCCGTCTGAGGAAGCCTCCGCTCTCCGCGTCCTACACGGTTATTAATGGCGTTCCTCGTTAATTATTTGGCTGTTATCCACCAGTTCATAAACACAAACAGTTTGCTCACCCTTTTATCAAGCGCCAGACAATTTAAAAAATAAACAGTTAATCAGGACTTGTTATTGAAAGCTCTGTAGCCACATCTTTAGTGTTCGCAGCGTAGATGTAGAATACGCAAAAATGTTGGTTTACTGACTGGAAACGCAGTATTTCATGCTCGTAAATATTTGCATATGTGCAATTATTGGTATCTTTACACAGCATCACCACCTTCCTCTATTCAGATCCATAATAATCTCACACAGACAGTCTGCGGGACCCAGCTGACACAGAACCAAGTACAAACACAAAACTACAATAACAACTGATGACGAACACAGTTGGGTCAAATCCGCGGATCTGAGAGCACAGACAGTAACAGTTAACCTCGAGGTCAAAGGTCCTGATCCCCGTCCATCTGGAAGCCAGACACCAATGCTCATGTCCAGCCATCCCTATAGGCTATAATGAAATTAATGGAAATTCTAGAGTGTCATAATGCAATGTTCAACACCCACTGCTGCCTCTGAGGTGGCACGTTACCATAGCAACAAGACGGGAAATAGATATAACCTTGTCCGTCAGGCTTATTTAGGAAAACACAGATGGGGATACTTCTCCACGCCTTGTCTGATGAAGACGACGAAACTTAACTTTGCGGATGACACAGCCGCAAATATATACAACACTTAAGACCAAATATATGAGGATAAGTCACGATTTATCCTCGACAATTTTTCTTTTAATAAAAAAAAATAATTTCTACCTTTCCTTTAATAAGGTCTAAAACTTATTTCCATCAGAAAATTCCTTCTTGGTAAAAACCTGGTCTTTTATGTCTTTCACACTGGGTCAAAACCTTTTCAAAATGTTCAACAATAAAACAATTTAAACAGCGTTGGATAAAGTTGTGCTTAAAACATTTCCCTCTGTCTGCTTCAAAATGCTTCATTATTGAAGCTTTAAAAAATCTTGACTGATTTCAAAGCAACAGCTTGTGATGAAGCAAACCAAAGCTGCTGCAGACGCCTGACAGACGTGTTTTAACAGGTTTTAGTTATTAAAATCTGACACCTTTTGAAATTAACGTGTTTTTGTTTTACCACAAGGTTGTGATAAAAGGGGAGTTGTTTTAAGACCTCTTATCGGAAAAGACGTTGCCAAACAGTTACTGTAGGCTTGTCGTACTTCACAATTTTTATATATTTTATATACAATATTTATGAGACATAGATTTTTTTTCCAAAGGTTGTTTCACACCTGACCTTTCTTAAAGCATAGACATACAGTATGTACAGTATGATATTATATCACAAAGATACAATTCATGCAATTTGTTACCGTTGACAAAGTGGTCCGAGTCCCTCTCCATGTTCACTCTGTTCTTCTTTGCGATGTGCCCAATGATCCATTTGGAGCGACCGTACTGCTGCGTGGCCAGCAACCAACGCAGGGACTCAGGGAAGATCCTGTGGAGAAGATGTGGAAATACCTCACAGAGTTAACAAAGAAAAAATTAACATAACATTAAAAAAAAGAGCTCGTGACATACAGCTGACTAAACACCAATCAGTTGTTCTAAAATGTTCACGTTATCTACGAAAAATGAAATTATTTCTCTCCATCGTTACATAATCTCTTTGCCATCTCTGAGGAATTCCACGCCTGTTCCATCGTCAGTTGTCCTCTCCACGACGATACTGATGAAAGTGAAGCTCCGTCCACATTGATTCTACTTTTTGATCCTTCCACTTATCTTTCTCTCCTGGTTTGAGCCTCAATTAAACCCTGGAGTGAAGTCAAGGTCTGTGA